TTGAGATGCTCTCCATGCAGCAATTTGTCTATTAACTTATTCTGGGTGGATGGGTGTGTGGGCAGTGGAAGTGGAGGAGGGAACTGCTATTTACTGAGCATTTACAAGCCAGGTATGGTGGTAAGGATTCTCTTTGAGCTATTCCATTTAATATTCTTCAATCATGAGGGATCTTGAGCCCCAAAATTTTAAATTATTTTTAAAAAAGGTTTTTATGAGGTACACAGATAACATTTATACATGGTTCCTGTCACCAGGGAGTTCATATGCAGGAGATGAGACAGGTAATAAAAAAAACCAAACCCATTGCCATTGAGTCCATTCAGACTCATAGTGACCCCCACTGTGTTTCGAGGTGGTAAATCTTTACGGAAGTAGATTGCTTTCATAGAGTGGCTGGTGGGTTTGAACCACCAACCTCTGGTTAGCAGTCAAATGCCTTAGGCACTGTGCTACCAGAGCGCCTTGAGACAGGTAATAATAAAATACAATAAAAATTCAGGCAGTTATGGGCGGGGAAGGGGCAAGGGGGTAGAATGATGGCAGCTGGGGGAAACAGCAGGAGGTGACTTCAGACAGGGTGAAGCATCAGTTAAGCTGATGGTTTCTAGACTCACTTTTTGAAGAGGCAACTGAGGATTACCTTACTTCAAAGCTTGTTGGTTAATGATTTCAACTAGGAAAAGACTGGGAACAGCCTCTCTCTCTAGCATGAATGTCACTGATGATCAGCTGCAGTCCCTAAAGCTGAGGCACAAGGGAGGAGAAAATTACCAGCAGGGAGGTAGGCAAGGATAGATGAATAATAAACAACTCCTCAAACCCAATTCTAATCTCAGGAGAGAGTATGTTGGTGGGAATCTGTAGGCAGTGGTGACAAAACTAGATTTTTCAAGAGATGGCTCAAATGGTAGTTCTAATTATAACCACACTTGGCATTAGGTGAAGCAAGATGAAATTTAAAGATGGAGAGGAAATAAAAATTCCCAAATATTCTGTTTTTCTGTACTACTTTAGCCTACAGCTATTAGCCCTACCCTGGAAGATGTAATTTTACAAAATATAGTCATCTGTTTCTAATAGGCCCACTCTACAAAGTAAATCTTTCTATGTTTCATCTATAAAATGTAAAGGAAAGTTTATGTAAACTGAAGGGGAGTACAGATGCAAGATACTGCACCTTGTATCTAAGCCACACTTCTCAACCCCAATAAAACAGTATGCAGTAAATATTTAATGGGAGCTCTGGTAGCATAGTGGCTAAGGCACTTGACTGCTAACCAGAAGGTTGGCGGTTCAAACCCACCAGCCACACTCCTTGAAGGAAGATGGGGCAATCTACTTCCGTAGTGATACTGCCTCGGAAACCCAAGGAGGGGTCGCTATGAGTCGGTCGGGTCCGACTGGACAGCACATAACAACAACAAAAAATATTTAATGGAAACTAGAAATTTAGGATACCACCATTTTCTCTGAGTTTCTTACTGTGGTAAAATGAGAAACAATAGATAACAATTCAAGTATACTCCCGTAGATGTTACTGATTTGTCACTGATTAACAAGTAAACTCTGTTTCGTTTCTTTTACCAATCCCTTCCGTGGTTTCTACTTATGCTGCCAATTATGTTCCCACAAGCTCAGTAGCATAACCTCAACCCAGGCACCAAGGTTCAGCAAGTTGCCTCCAGTGCTGGGGGTGGTGGTGGTAGTGGTGGCTGAGCTCTCCAAGGCTGACTTTCCACTAAGGCTGACTTTCCACTGACCTTTTTAACTTTTTGGTGCTGCTAAAACAAGCGGTCTCTGTGGACTTTTCATTTAAACACCACTCAAACTTTCTAAAAATCAATGCCAAAGCTCAAGAAACCTCAGAAGACACCTTGTCCAGTCTCTCTCTCTTTGAAGACTCACCAACGTACTGAAAATAGGGCCTTTATCAGAGATCACACCGTGAATGACTGGGAAAGCCAGGACCAAGGACTAATCCTCCATACCAGAAGGTCAGGGGATTTAGATTTATCGAGACTGTAAACAGGTACCAGAAACTGGACACAGATGCTCATTAAATCCCAAGGAAACAGTGGCTCCATTTTATAGAAAATGAAACCTACTGAAAAGTAATTTGCCAAGAAGTCAAGTGTGTGACAAGGACAAGAAAGAGACCCCATCATCACATTCCCCTCACTGCACTTCAGTGGCAAAAGCCTTGCAGAGTTCAGTGCTCCTCAGGCAACCTTAATCCACCTACTCAACATCTCCATCAACCCAATATTAGATTCAAAACATGGGAAAACTAAGCCATCTACCACACACGGTGTCGGATGGAGAAGCATATCGCTCAGGCTGCAGGTGTGTTTCATTTGTTTAAATGTTTTTATTTAAAAAAAAATTAAAGACCTTCATGGCACAACTTCTTCCCAGCACAGTTATGTTTTAGTTATAGCAATTACAATACAATTTTAACGAATAAATCAATGGGAGAAAAAAGAAAAACAAAACAAAACAAAAAAACCTTCTGACTTCAAATTTAAAATTAGGGCCACTTCAAACAAAGTTTAAAAATACTTAAAAAAAAAAAAAAAAAAAAAACCCTTTCAGAGTTAATTGCCAACACAATTGTTTTATATTGGCCTCCATTTCCTGCCATCTATGCAGACACAGGTAGTGCTGAGAAATAAAGCGTCCCAATACAAGGTATACAGATGAGGTAATTTACAACAACACGGAAGTTGTTACTCTGTAAACCCTTGCCCCCCACCCACCTACCAATTGGATCTTGTTTTGTTTTGTTTTTCATGCTTCTGCAGTGACTCCTTAAGTAGCAATTTTAAACTTCAATTTATTTTAAAAGGCTCTTGGGTGGCGTTTGAGTCCTCTGCATTTACCTTCAGTTTCTTGCAAGGTCTGATGGGTGCTAAGATGTCCAGTTGTCTACAGCTCCCCACATCAGCCTCAGTTACACCTAGATTCTGAGCTAAAAGGGTGGGGTGCGAAGACTTGATTTATAACCCCCTCCACCTCAAAAGAAACAGTTCATTAGTCCTAAGTGTCCTGTTCAAATCACAATCCAGTGCAAACATAATCACAAATTGCATCTCTGGCACATCTGGTGCTTTTAGCTTCTGCACAAATGCAACATGGTAACCCTCACAGCATTCTAGGGCATTAAAGGGTCAAGTATAATAAATATCTACTGGTAAGTGGCTGCAAGTAAGAAAATCACCCTGCCACTTAGGATGTTTCCCCTTCAGCTCTCCCTCTAGTTGAGAAGCCTTATAAAAGGAGGTTTCAGCTTCATCTAAAGTTTGCCATTATATTCACTAAAGCCACCACCTCAATTAAGTTACTAAAGCCAAGATGGGTTACAAAGTTAGATAAGTTCATTAAATTCAGCTCCCCAAACAATTGTTTATGATGCCCAGGTGGGAAAGGCTTGTGATTCTATAAAGGAAGGAGAATGGGGAACTAAGACTTTAGGCCTTAAGATACATTGGAAGATTTTTCCTAGTTCCCACAAGCAGCTACTGTAATGAAATAACACGAGAAATACAGAGCTGATGGTTTTGCTATTGTGCTTAAAAAACTAGGCTTCCTCAGTGAAGCACCTGATAAACTTAGGTGGCTGGATTACAGTGGAAAATCCACTTTACACACACACACACACACACACAAAAACCGGCAACTTTTTCCATCCCCAATCCCTGCACTGCTGAGACACAGGAGTTTTATGGCAAAGGATCCTTAATCCCCAGAGATGCTTTGGCTTGTGGTGCTTTGGTAAGGCCTCTCTGCCCTGCCCAGTACCATAGGTCGAACGAGGGGTATATAAAAATGGGGGCCTCAGGAAGCCCCCACGGTACAGGGCTGCAGGCCCCTCGGATGTGAACATGAGACACCCACCCAGCGAGACCTTTACACAGGGAACTTAAATCTAACCTTGATAAATAAAACCAAACGTTTATTTACACCAAAGAATTCCAACACTGGATCTTTCACATATGAAGGACAAAGTATTATATATATACACACAGGAAGGGGTGGCAGGGCTATAACAATAGTTTAGTTGTCCCACAATTACAAGTCTACCATTTCGGCTTCAACGGAGATGCTGCTCTGCTCCTGCCTGTCAGATCACATTTACATGTCTTCTCACTGGATGGCATGTGAGGGAAGGGGAAGGTAGGAGGAAAAAAAGGCAGAAGCTTAAAATGAAATTCATTGTGGCCATATCTCCCTTTAGCTCTTTAAGAGTTGCTTTGCTACCATGAAACCTATATAAAGTTTGTTTCTTTCATAAAAAGCAAGGAGTTATACCTGGTAATCAGGTAAATTTGAAATGGCCAAGTTAAATAAAATGGAAAAAGATTTTGCCTTCGCTCCTACCAGCTATAGAGCACAGTGTTCTGGGAGATGAAAGGCAAGAGGGCCCAAGTAAGAGCCTGGGAGGGAAGGTATTAAAATGTTAACTAAACTTTGAAACTAAAATTACAAGTGAGTTGGATTTAGGGTTAGGAAAATAAGACATGATTCATATGAAACAGAAGTTTTTAGGACCTGTCTGTACTCTGGGTAGATTTCCAACTTTTTAATGTTAACGCAGACATGTTTCCACTAGATTCACCAGGCTAACCCCTCTGAAGCACTTCTGGAGTAAAGTGATATAAGTGACTAGCAGTACAGTGAGTGCTCTTATAGTCTGGGTCCTCTCTTCCTCCTTTCCTTCCCGCCTCCCTTGAGAAGCTACATTTTGGTAATCTCTGGAGAATGGCATGAGATACAAACTCCCCAACATGTGAGTTAGTGGGGGAACAATGGTGGGAATGAGAAG